CCGAGCCACTCCAAGCACCTACCCACTGAGCCACTGCAAGCACCTATACCGACCGAGCCATTTCAACACCTATACCGACCAAGCCACTCCAAGCACCTGTACCGACCCAGGCCTCCCAAGCACCTACCCTCCGAGCCCCTCCTTTAGGTGAGATTCCATTCTTCCTAGAAAAAATATTAGGAAAAAAAAAAAAACGTGAAATAAATGTTGCGCCGATTCCTTGCGTTTTCATTTTTTACCGCCCTACGACGTTTGGGCTAATAGAGAAAGTACCCCAAATTATGCGATTTTTAGCACTCAGAAAAATTATTCAAATCCGCTGAAAATTTAAGGGTCTGTAGGTTTGGTTTTGATCTTAGCAGGAAAAATGCTTTAAAAAAACGGTTAAACCGAGAAAAACAAAAAAACGTTCAAACCGCAAAATAAATGTCAACCGAGCCACTCCAAGCACCAATTGACCCAGCCACTCCAAGCACCTACCGACCCAGCCACTCCAAGCACCTATACCGACCAAGCCACTCCAACCACCTACCGACTAAAGCACTCCAACCACCTACCGACTGGACCACTCCAACCACCTACCAACTAGACAACTCCAAGCACCTACACAGCCTACCAATAGAGCCACTTCAAGCACCTATCGACTGAGCCCCTCCAACCAGCTATCGACCGAGCCACTCCAAGCAGCTACCGACCGAGCTTCTCCGAGCACCTATACCGACCTAGCCACTCCAAGCACCGATACTAACCGAGGCACTCCAAGCTGCTATACGAACTTTATAGCTGGGCCAAGTACACGTGGTTTAACACACAAACCCTAAGAACATTTGAGATCGTCTGAGATCATTTAAGATCGTTGCACCCATACCGCTCGAGCCACTCCAAACACCTATATCGACTGAGCTTCTCCAAGCACCTATACCGACCGAGCCACTTGAAGCACCTATACTGACCGAGCCACTCCAAGCACCTACCCATCGAATCACTCCAACCACCGACCCACCGAGCCACTCCAAGCACCTACCCACCGAGCCACTCCAAGCACCTACCCACCCAGCCGTTCAAAGCACCTATATTGACCGAGCCACTCCAAGCACCTATACTGCCCGAGCCACTCTAACCACCAATACCGACCAAGCCACTCCAAGCACCGATATCGATTGAGCCACTCAAAGCACCTATATTCACTGAGCCACTCGAAGCACCTACACCGCAAGAGTCATTCCAACCACCTATGGACCGAGCCACTCCAAACACCTACCGACAGAGCCATCCAAGCACCTAGT